GTGGACTCAATTTGCACTATTTCTAGCAGTCTGCAAAGGTCCACAGTCTCTTAAATAAAGTCCATCCATCTAGCATGTGGTCTTCCTCTCTTTCTACTTCCCTCCAACTTTCCTAACATTATTATCTTTTCTAATGATTCATGCCTTTTCATGATGTGTCCAAAGTATGGCAATCTAAGCCTTGTCATCTTGGCTTCTAGGAATATCTCTGGCTTGATCTATTCTAGGACCCATTTGTTTGTCCTTTTGGCTGTCCATGGGATCTTTAGCACTCTTCTCCAGCACCACATCTCAAATGCATTGATTTTCCTCCTATCTTCTTGACTATCCAGCTCTCACATCCATACATGGTAATAGGGGATACGATGGCTTGTATAATTCTGGCTTTTTTGCGAGTTGTATGTCTTTGCATTTTAGGATCTTTTCTAGTTCATGGCCACCCTCCCCATTCTTAAACTCCTGATGTTTAACCCCAGATATGTTTAACCCCAGATATGAGAACTCTTTTACTTTTTCTATTTCTTCATTGTCTAGTTTGAATGTGTGCAAGTTCTCTGTGGTCATTATTTTGTATTCTTTATGTTCAACAGTAAGCCTGCCTTTGCATTTTCTTCTTTGATCTTCCTTAGTAGGTGTTCCAGGTCTGTGAGGTGTTCTGCTAGTATTATGGTGTCATCAGCATATCTCAGATTGTTGATATTCCTTCCTCCTATTTTCACTCCTTCTGTGTCCAAGCCTACTTTTCTTGTATGTTCTGCATACAAGTTGAACAGATAGGGTGAAAGGATGCAGCCTTGTCTGACTCCTTTGCCAATTGGGAACCATTCTGTTTCTCTATGTTCTGTCCTGACAGTGGCCTCTTGTCCTGAGTACAGATTCCTCATTAGGACTATCAGATGTGTTGGCACTCCCATGTCTTTATGAGTGTTCCATAGCCTTTCATGATCTATGCAGTCAAAGGCTACATAGATAACCTATTGAAAAGCAAATATCCTTTCACTGCATGACCTCTGGAGTATTTGTAATATTCTGTGCATTTGATTGCCTTTTGAAAGGTGATCAGAGATCTCAGTAGGCTTAGGGGTGTTGCAGACCAGCCTAAAGGGCTGGCCTGGTGGTGGAGTTGGGGCGGGGCAGCCTCATGCCAGCTGCTCCAACCCCAGCCCAGTGCCATCCTGATGCTGTGCGCCCGTACACACGCCTTGTGGCGTCAAGACGCCCTCCCAGTACAGCGTGTAGACATGCTGCGCTGAAAGGGCGCAGAAGAGCTGCGGTGCAGGCTGTTAGGTGGCCTTTTGTCACCCTAACAGCAGTGGCATTTTGCGACTCTTTTAGGGGTCGACAAAAGGGAGGATCGGGGCCACGGAGTGCCATTGTCGTGGTCCCAATCCGCTGCCAGCAGAGGCAGCCCAGAGCCTCCCGTCTGCATAGCCCCTTAGTAAGAGCACTTTCTTCCAAGCATGTGACTCAGTATTCCTGTTGCATTTGTTTTGGTATTCATCATTAGTCCAATTCAGCATGTTCAATAGTACTGTAAAATCTATACGGCTTACACTGCCATCTTCTCCCATATGCCTGTCTCCCCCTTCTATGCAAGATGGGCCTTCTTTGATGCTGTAAAGCAGGAGTTGGTAAAATATGGCTTGCATGCAACCCCCAGAAGGATCAACTTTTTTGGAGGGGTGTGTGTCCTAAAATGTCCATTTAGGGAATTGGGGGAATTTTCATGTGTTTTATCTCCTCCAGACTTTTTCAGGCCTAGAGGAGGCCTTTAAAAAAAATAGGAAGTGACATCAGCTTGTTTTCTTTTGTTAAATGGCAAAAACTGCTCCCTATACTCTAGAGAAGTGGTTCTCAAATGGTGAGATGGGACCCCTGGGGGGGGGGGGAGGGCATGAACAGGGTAATGTCCTAAGCACAAAGGACAAAATACCGTAAAATGTAGGATATTAAAAAAAAAAAAAATATGAAGGCCATTACAAAATCTACATTCAGTCCACCCTGTTTGCCTATCTGTAACGAGGACAGGCTGCCAAGCATACAGATTTCTGAAAGGGGAACAGCTAAATATAGGTGTTACTCAATGGACTTCTTAGTGATGCTCAAAATGGAGGTCATTTTAGAATTCCTCCTGGACAGAAGGTTGAAATGTAGGACATGTATCAGAAAGGGAAGACATCTGGTCACCCCAAAACCAGATGAGTTACTCAAGGGGGACACAAGACTTGGAGGCCCTCATTTCCCCCCATCCCACCCCTCTTCTTCCCAAACTTTTGTCCTGGAGCAGAAGAGAAAAGAGAGGAGGATGTTCTGTGTCTGAAGGAGGAAGACTGGGAAGTTCACTGGATTGTGGCTGCAGGATGAGGATCCTGAGCTCCCATGTCTTCCTCTTCCCCTACTTTGTCCTGCCATTGCCTCTGTTCTCAGTATGAGACGTTGCTGCAGCTCCAACACATTCTCATACATCCTCAACAAAGTATCCCCAGCAACCTCCTGCATGTCCTTTGGAGGTTCCAGAGAATAATGTCAGTGCAGTGTGTCCAACTATAGCAGGGATGAAGAAATTGCACAGGGGTGGGTGCCATTTTACCTCCCAGGGGCAATCCTGTAGACCATGCCAGGATGCCTGTTTGCGGATGAAAGAAATGCCCCCAAATTGCCCCCATTTTTTTAAAAAAAAAACATTTGGGGGAGGGGTTGGAGCCTAGAGAGTTCTTCTGAAGGGTCCCAAAAGCCACATTCAAAGGTCCCAAGGGCCACATGCAACCTGTTGGCTGCACTTTGCCCATCCCTGAACTATAGGAACATAACGGGTTTTTAAACAGATTTAAGTTGAATTTACACCTGTGTAAGCCACTTAAAAGATGCCAGCCAAGCTTATTCCCCTGCAGTATTTAAATCTACTACTGAAGTGCTTTTAATAATTATTGCAAGTATGAATAATTGAGGACAAAAGGGTATGACAGAAAATAATTATTGTTGCAGGAAACAATGAAACACCATGATTAAAATCTGAAAAGCCAGGTTATAGTGCTGCAAAAGAGTCCATCTCAGATTCATGTATTCAAAACTAACATTATTAATACCTATTTAGCTTGTACAGGCGTCCCTCCATTTTCACAGACTTTGAGTCCGTAGTCTCGGTTCTTTGTGGACAGGCAAGCGGAGAGGGTTAAAATGGCATGTGCATATGCACACAGCCATTCAAAGCAATGGGGCTTGAATATTTGTGATTTTTCTATTTTCCGGGGTGGTGGTGGTGGTGAACGGATCCCCACAAAAATGGAGGGACAACTGTACTATCAAACATAAAGAGCCAGCATGGCATAGTGGTTTGAGTGTTGGACTATGAATCTGGAGATCAAGGTTCAATTTCTAGCTCGGCCATAAAACCTACCAGGTGGGTTACTTTGGGCAAGTCACATGCTCTGAGCCTCAGGAAGGCAATGGCAAACCTCCTCTGAACAAATCCTACCAAGAAAACTCCATGATAGGTTTGCCTTAAGGTCACCGTAAGTCAGAAACAACATGAAGTCACACAGCAACATTAAACAAATATTAATATTTAATAATATTAAATATAAAACAAGGCAAGAAAAAAGACAGGAACATTTCAGAAGAGCCTGTACAAAGCCTGTTGAGGTATATACTGCTTTCCAGATGTGGTTGGATAGCACTTACCTTCACCCTTGGCCAGCACTGCCAGTGGTGAAGGATAATGGCAGTTGCATCCTAGTACATTGGGAGGGATTGATGTTTCCCATCTTGCTTTGAAAGAAGCTGGAGAAAAGAATGGCAATAGCTGGCTTTTATGCTCAGGAATCCATTTCACATAATCTGGTTATTTAAAATATCTGAATGTGCAAGGTCAGAATAGTTTATATTCTCTGGATGGCAGAGAGCAACAATCCACTTACAGGTTATATCCCACATCCTAATTGATGTTATATCCCACATCCTAATTGATGATACATTATCAGCTGGTACATGAGGATTAACACATGAGTAAATGGATTGCTCCTACCATCCAACAATGAATATTCACTGTAAATATCTACCTCTCATTCTTTATGAATGAAATTATAGTGCTCTCTTATTTATAAAACATTGCTCTCTAAGTTATCTTCAATTTCATTCTTCTTTTCAGGAAAAGTGGATGCCTTTTGAATTGAAGCCATGCAGGACACTGAAAGACAAAAATATCCAGTTGTCATTAAGCTAATATTTCATGTAGAAGAATAAGATAACCTTGAAATAGTCCTGAGCAATTTTGTCTTTAAGGCTTTTTTTTTGGGGGGGGGGGGGGGGGGGGGGTTGCGTGCTTCTGCTTGAAGGAAATTGGGCAGCTTCTTCCTGCTTTTGAAGTCTTGTCCAGTGGGCCCTTGGTATCTGCTGGGGCTTGGTTCCAGGTTCCCCCATAGATACAAAAATCTGTGTTCAAGTCCTGTTATATACAATGGGATAGTACAGGGGTAGGCAACCTTTCCCCTTTAAGGGCTGAAGGACTTCAGCTCCCAGAATCCCAGGAGCTATTGGCCAACACAGCACTATTGGCCAACATGGCTGAGGCTTCTGGGAGCTGAAGTCCCTCGGCCCTTAAAGGGGAAAGGTTGCCCTAGGATAGTACAATGGTGTCCCTTATATAAAATGGCAAAATCAAGGTTTGCTTTTTGGAATTATTATTTTTTAAAATATTTTCTAGCCATGAACGGTAGAATCTGTGGATGCAAACTCCATGGATGTGGAAGGCTGACTATAGCCTGAAGCCTTCATGCTCTGCCTGGACAGCCACTCTCAGTGGTAAGTACATGGATGCAGCTGTCATCTCCACTCTTCAAACAGGCAATGCTCCACAACAGGTGCTAGTGGTGCCATTTGAAGAACTGGAAAGATAGAGAACACTGGGCTGTTTAGACTTCAAAAAGCAGGAAAGGACCACTCACAGTGTCAAACTTCTACTTGAAGATTGAGAGCAAGCACACATTTATTATCTCTAACACTGAAATCTGTGCAACCCAGTTTTATTGTCAGGACAAGATGCCCACCATTCTTACAGCCACAAACTACTAGCAATATATAGAGAAATGTGTGTACTGCTTCTCACAGAACTCCTTGGTAATACTACTGCACTCTCACCAATTGGATTACTACTGTATCTTGACAGCATCCTTGGAATCAGAAGAAATTTGAAAAGATATAGAATATCTTTCAATATTTGACGGCATGTCATATAAAAGATAGAGCACATTTGTTCCTCCACTGCTCCAGACTAGAATGTAAACCAATGGTTTCAAATTACAAGAAAAGAGAGTCCACCTAAGCATTGGGAAGAACTTCTTAACAGTAAGACTGCTTTGGAAAGTGGTGGTGTCTCCTTCTTTGGATGTCTTTAAAGAGAGGTTGGATGACTATCTGTCAAGAGTGCTTTAGTTAAGTTGTATAGCAAGGAATTGGACTGGTTGGCCCCTTTGCAGTTCTTTGCAATTCTGATTCTATTATACATGCTGTAGTGAAAAGTGTTTGCCAAACTGCACAGGGGACACCACTAACTGTTAATGTACTGCAAAGAGTGCAAAATGCAGTTGTGTCTATGACACCAGAATCTTCACATCTATTCTTGCTTTCATTTGGAAACTGAAAGACTTCTGACTGAGTCAGAGCATGCAAAGACTTTGAACTTGACAAAGTGCATTTAGTTTTACCTGATGAAATCATCAATATCCATTACTCGTGCACGTTTATCTGAGTAACCAGTCTCATTTAGAATTTCGTGAATGAGATTTCCAATATTGAAATTTTTAGGAATTTCCTGTTAACATAAAACCAAAGGAGAGAATTTACCTTATGGTACCTATCACATAAGAAGCAACTCAAAGTTTTTAATGAAGATTATTCCAAAAACCAAAACAGGAAGAAAAATTGGAAATATTTACCAAATTATTCTGTGAACAATGAATTCGGTAATTTTGTTCTAGCAACTGTTTCACAGCATTTGAACTGAAATGGGTAAAAATAGGAAAGATTACACATCTTGTAGTTAGCCTTCCATTTTTTAGAAAAAAAAATGTAAATACAGAATCTTCCTTTTGCACATGCATTTTCCTCCAAGTGATAATTTCTGTACATTCAGAGAAGGAATATAAAACTAAATAAAATAGGCACGTTCCAACTAGCAGAGACACATGGTGACTCTGTCACATTTCTATCTCACCATTAGATGGCTTAACTTATTTAGAATAGCAAAACAAATTACACTTACATGCCTCTCTCTGAAACAGAGATTACAAATGTTTATATAAATGTAGATGAAATTAACTACCTCAGGATGTCTAAGTGGGGCCTTGGTATCAAAATCTGAACCATTCCAATGCAAAATGCAGACAGGAAGATAACTAGTGGAGTATTTAAACTTCACTGAAAGTTTAGCAGAATCTTGGAATATATAATTCTAGAAAACTACAAGAAACTCCTGTCCACAATCCTGTTTGCTAACTTGTCAGTGTCAATTAGGCAATAATAAAAATATGCAAAAAATCAGATTTGAATTAATAAATATTTCAATAATAAATACTGCTAAAGGATAATTTTTTAAAAATCAATTTGCTTAGTTTTGCTTAACTATTAAGACATGGCCTCATAGCAGCCTTGAAAGAAGCAAAAGAGCTAGGCTCCACATGTAGGCTGGCTTGCCAATTTACGTATGTGCTGCCCTGCTTTTCAGGGTCCTAAGCCAAAGTGATCAATTATCAGAGAAACAATTGTTCCAAAGCATAGAGATCAGAGGCAGCATGAGAATGATTAGCTATCTTTTCTTTAGTGAAATACACAACACCTGTTCTCATAGCCTTATACACTATTAAAAGACAGAAATCACAGAAGCATTAATGCATCTGCATCTTTTTTGCCTTTAGTCACATAACAAATGCTCACTTGTTTCATCTTGATAAGCTGCTTGTCATGTTGTATGGACAGTTGATGTTTGCATGCTTTCTTCATTTGCCACGACAATGCCTGAGTATGGTCTCAGTTCTCTTCTTCAATAGTGAGCTGATGTTTAGAAGTCAGGTGCACCACCTTCTCCCTCTTTTCCCTTCTCTTTGCTCATGAGCAAAGGAAAAACAGGACAATTTAGCAATGTTACTGACTTCAAGATCAAGGCAAATAAACACCTCATACAAGCGTCAACTGTCCATACAACATGACAAACAACTCATCAAAGAAACAATTGACTGCAAGAATAAAAAGTAAAAGCCCAGCTGCAAACCAAATGCTCTGATATGAGTAACTTACTTAAAAACTGCAGCGAGTGTCTTGTTTTTCCTGACAAAGACTATCCTTAGCAGGCCATCCCATTCCTACATAAATATATAAAACATTTGTTTCAAACCATGAATACTTTGCAGTAAAACTGATGGCAGCATTTACAGTGTCTGTCCCCAGCATGACTCTTCCCAATGTTCGCTTCTTATTCATTCCTTTCTTATTTTTTAAGTATTTCAAATGCCTTCTCTATTTTCCTCTTCATCAATCTAAGTATTATTATCCATATGCTTGTTTTTATCTTCCATATGTGACTAGAATGTCACTCCATTCAAAACATGACTAATTCCTAGGAGAGATCACACCTTAGAAACCTACCTTATTTTCTTGCGTATAAGACTACTCTTTAACCTGCAAAATCTGTGGTTAAAGTGGGGGGTCATCTTATACGCCGGGTATAAGGATAAGGAGGATGGAGGTGCTAAAACTCTATGTTTTGACTGGAAAAATGGGGGTTCGTCTTATACGCGGGTCGTCTTATACGCCGGAAAATAGGGTACACCAGTTTTTACAATTTTCCTCAAATTTATGTATTTACTAAATGTATATCCCTCTGTTCTCCTGAGATGGGCTTACAATCACCAAAAATATGCTTTCAAACATGCATAATCAGGGTACAATTCATGCATCTCTTTTCAAGTTCTCCTGGACACTTAATTTTACACACATGCAGACCAACGTATAGATAGATTTTGATGAGGGTAATGAAGTGAACTTTTAGTTTCTTCCATCATGTGGACCATCAGTCTTCAGCTTCAACGTCAGCATTATCAGAACTTTTGAACCAAAATCAGTTGCCTTTATCATAAATAAAACATTAATCTTTCGCTCTTTTCTCACCCACGGTTAAATCTGCTTTGCTGAAATCTCCCAACCAACCAGTGCCATAAAACACACAAACACACTAACAGTTTCCACACAGTCTTTTAAACTGATATTTGATGTTATCAATGCATCAAGTGTTAGAGAGCCCCCACAAAAACACACATCATTGCAAGAAACATTGGGCCTCTACAGACGGCACTTTGCACCATCTTGGAGGCAGGGAAGGGGAGGGGCAGCTGCAT